CAGCAGCAAGAAAGTCAACAGGCAGTAGTTCCTGCTCAGACCTCCGCTCTGCCGCCACAGCAGACACATCACACACATCGCACACGGCCTGCGGACCAGACCACTTGCAGCACACACACATCACACAAGTGGCTGTTAGTGGTTTGAGAAGGGAAGCCGTCGTCTCACCCAGCGCGCTCCCACATGAGTCAGACGCAGCGTGCAGACAAAGCCGGCTGCAGACCTCAGGGTCGTAAAGACGCTTTGCAAGCAGAGGAAGAGAAAGAGCATGTGATGGGACGGCTTCTAACATGCGTCCACGGCTTCATGTGTTGTTAATCCCCTTCTCTCTCCTTTGCTTGTGTATCAAAACGAAGCGTAAACTCTCTCCAGGACGCCTTGAAACCGGAGCGTTTAAGGAGAGAAAAAGGAGCCATAAAGAGTTCTTGTTAAAAAGCAGCAGAGTCGAGGCTTCTTACAGTCGAGCCAGTTAGTCTAAAACTTTCCATCAAAGCCACGCTGAGCTGCATGGAGTAATTACCTCTCACACAGCAGCAGCAGCAGCAGCAGCAGCAGCTCCCAGGCCTTATTACTGATCCTGTGTGTGTGTGTGAGCCAGTAAAGGTACATGGACAGATGAATATGCCTCCATGTCCCGGTCTGGCCCACTTTCCACGTGTGTGCCTGTAAAGTAAAAGCACCCCGGAGTGTCGCGCTTTGCAGACACAGACCAGCCTGCAGAGGTGATAAACCGAGAAATGTTGTTATGACGGGTGGCTGCCGGTCCGCGCCGCCGTGACGACGGCAGAGAGAAGCCCACCCAACGTGTCGGAGTGGGGTTCAGACGACGAACACGCCACTTCTAGCAACTTTGGATGCTTCTTTAAACCTGAAAATGTCAATTTTTGTAGCTGAAAATCAAGTCAAACTCTAAAGTTTTTTTTTTACTCCTGTCTCATTTTTCCTCACTGTTGGCTTGTTTTGTTTTTTTCTGCAATATGAAGCCCATGAAGAAGGAGAGAGAACTCAGACATACATATAATAAAGTTGAATGGCATAAATCTAAAAATAAGAAGAAATAATAATTATGCAAGTTGTTGTTGTGTACCACAGTTTCATGTCAAATTCTTTGTGTGTATGAGTTCATCTGGCAATAAAAGCTTCCTGCATTCTGTTTTCTATCCGCTCTGTGTGAACACTGCCTGCAGTTCAGTCCAAGAGTCCCAGAATTCTGATTGTTGTTCACAGCCGAGTCATGAATGGCTTCACAGTTGTGTCAAAGAGCACAGATTTTTAGTTTTGTTCTTGACAGATTTTGGTTTTTGGAAATTTCTCATTGATTTTGATTGAATATCTCAATTGTTAAGATGACATTTGACTCACCGCACATCAAACATGACTTGATCTTGAGAACATAGAAAATCATAAAATAGTTTTGACAGTTTCTGTTTCTGATAAATGGTTAAATGGTGCCATTTGGGAGGTTCAGAGGGTTAAAGTCATAATACTGAATAAATCTTTACATTGGTAGAAGTTCTGTCACCAAATACTCAACTTAACAAACAACAGATCAATGTAGAAATACTCCAAAACAACTGAAAGTCTTCGATTGAACAACTTTAGTAAAAATACAGAAGCATTATTAGATGAATGAACTTCATGCAGATGCAAAAATGTAAAAGTAGGGACTGTACATTTTAGTTGGTTGAGCTGGTTTTAATGACTTTTTTATAAATAATTAAGCATATATATTTATTATTGTATGATTAGAAAGAGGACAGAGGAAGAACATCATAATTTTACTTTATTTTTTTGTCATTTTTGCCTTTTTTGGGATAAAATATTGGTTCATTTGAATCATTTTTGTCTTTAAAAGAATCCAACCTAGAAGGTCAGAAGGGCAATTATGATCACCTGACTTTTCATCTAGCGCCACCATGAGGTTGAGTTCTCAATGTGTTCCCATCACAGCTAAAAAAAATTCCCAAAAACAACATGTAAAACTGCTCACAGGATATTCTAATAACCGTGAAAACACAAACTCATGACTGAAGGTTCGTTGAATGCTGCTCGGAAGCCTGAGTCACATGTTTTCTGAGGTCAAACCAGCTCATGAGCTCAGCTACGTTTACAGTACTCCCTGTAACTCTTGACCAAAGACTGTAAACTATAAAGAGGATTAAGCCCGTACGTTCGGCTGCTTTATTCAGTTTTACCGTCAAACGTTTAATTTATGAATGACACCGCCTTGAGGAGCTGCTAACCCTGAAAGAATTTCCCAAGTCTGGGATTTAATGGAGGCTGTGAGTGTCTCATGATGGTCGAGCTGCTCTTTCAAAAGCTTTTTCGAGGGGAAAATGCGGGACGACTTGCCATGTTTTAGTATAAAAACGACTTAATTTGATTATATGGGAAAATATCAACTCTTGGATCTGCGTTCGTATCATCCTTCAGAATCAACTGCCACGCAGCTGGAGCGAAAATGTCCAGAAATGTGATTCATATCCCCAAATTAATCTGACAATGTTGGAGGCTTTTTAAGTGATGTGAATAGGAGCTGAATGAAGTCCTTTGGCTGGTGCGACGGCCAGAGAAAAAAAAAAAAACACTGCAGAAGCAGATTGATGAAATAAAGAGGCTGTAACCAGCTTTGCAACTAATGTCATCTAACTTTCCAAGGTTCAGCGGGCTCTTCCAGCGTTAGTCATAACCGAACGGAGAGTTTATAAATCTCTCGCTCGCTGCAGATTCAAAACGTCTACATAACGTACACCCTGATGTTTCCACATCTCACCACATCATGAGATGGTTGTATTTTTCCAGGGAAGGCTTGAAATGGAGGGCCCGGGCAGCCAGTAAAACTTCTTTGGGCACGCAGTCGGTGAGTCCTGCCAGCAGCGTATAGCAGGAGGCATAAAACTCCAACCAAGAAACCTGAAGTCGACAAACTGTGTTAAGTGTTCATAAAATACCTCTGGCTGGAGGACGTTTGATGGAGGGATTAAGAAAGAGAGTCGAGCTCCTTTTAAAAATGTGAACAGCCGAGCTCGTAATGTTTTCCCCGTGGGTTCACTCCGATGAATATAAATGCATGTGAAGAGAGCGGATTAAAGATCTAAACCTCTTGTTTTGAAAGAAGTTTTCTCATCATTTCTCAGTGAGGTCTGCAGACCTGGAGGGCGGACCCCTGCCTGTGGGGCCCTTATGCTGCTTCTCTGGTTGGAATTCGCTGCATAGTTTCCACAGAGGCTTAAAAAAAAAAATCCTATTTTCATCGCCACAACTTTTACAATCTCGCTAACATGTCTCTAAAAGTGTCAGGATCCAGATGTGAGAAGTCATGAAACACCAGATCCTTATCTAGAAACCCAACTACACTGCGTTGGTAATATTTTCCAAAGCTGTTATTGTCACAAAAACGACCATGTTATAGGCTCGATCGCAAAGTAGTGCCGCTTCACAAGGCCTCAGTTCACCTCTCGCCCCTGTCATAACCCAGAGAAGGCTACTGAGGGATTCCAAACAGCTGTCCGGTCAATAAGGAGTATTATGAGGTCACAATCAGGCAGAGAGGATTAGACCACAGTCACACAACGGGGGACATTTTGATATTTTAAGAGTGCAGCCACAACATTTTTACTTTGAGTTCTGGAGAAAATACATAAAAAGACACAAAAATATCTGCATGATGCTGCTGCTGATGGCCAAATAAGGAAAAATAAAAGGTAAATAGATAAATAAATAAGTAAACAAGCACTTTCTGGCAAATATTCAATAGTTATTTCAATCAATTTATTTTATTTGACCCTGAGCCACTGTCACCAAGTGCTGCTTAAAGGGAATTGTTGGATTTCTCTCTGTAATATTAAAGCTTTATGTTTGAATTAGTTTGGTAAATGTACATAATAAATGAAATTGTAGATTCCTGATAATTAAACCTGTTAACACCAGCTATGTTTCTCTACTGGGAAGTACTTTGTGTCAACTGATTGACATGTGCTGTAAATAATGATGGCTTGACTGTTCTATGATTATCTTATTTTATTTGAGCAAACTTTACATCGGATATTGGTTTTTGAAGCAGTAGATCAGACAACCAAACAATACAAAACAGCAGGGGGATATCTCCCAAAGGCAACACACATAAAATACAAAATTTACCTTCACTTGCAAACTGATTTTTTACATTTTTACCACACTGTTGCCCATAAAACTGGAATATATTTTGTTTTTAGACACGTTCCTCTTGTTTTCCTCTACTGATACACATCAGTGATCACTTCTGACCAGGTGCAGTGATTACACACTGAGTCCCAGTTACCAGGTGAAACCAATTCTGACTTTAGGATCTGACTGAAGAGTGTGACGTCCTGCCCACTGACACCATCAACCAGCTTGTGGACAGTATGCCACCATGTCTTAATGCATTGATCCGTGTCAGAGGTGGTCAGACTCAATGCTAGTGACTGAGTGATATTTGAAAGAGTAATTTTTATGCATGAAATCCCCTAAAATGTGTGTTTCCTTTTAAATCAGGTTGAAAATTTTAAACAAAACCCTTAATCCTATTGTTCAATACCCCGATTTTGTTCAAGCCTGAGTACACAGTTTGCAAAAGTTAATTGTGGTTTAATTTTTTACTGTGGTATGTATTATATGTATATTGTGATATCAATAAAGTTTTGAGAAGATACACACCTTAGCTGTTAAGAATAAAGAGCATTGTCACAGTCATCTCATGAGAAAAGATTTAAAAAATACTTTTATTCCAACTTTATGAGCAACAGTGTATTTTACTGAAGCTCAAAACACATCTGCAGTAAATATACAGACAAATAATAAAACGTGCAGAATAAAAATATGACAATAACTGTCAAAAACCCTATAACGATTATTTTTATTATTATTACCTGGGTCTTTTGTCATATCATGGCGCCACCTTGTGGACCCGGATGTAAACAACTCCAGTTGACGTAACGTTCTCACGTCATCATTCTGCGCCCGTGCCTCCAGTCGCAGCAACATGTGAAGAAAACCTGGGGATACAGTGTTTCTGACATTTAACCGCAGCTTGTCTAATTTCACACAACGCTGACAGAGTCGTTCGTGACTAGAAGTGTTATTTTTAACCTTGCTAGGACTCTGAACGCCGCTGAAAGCGAGGTAGCGTCAATTTAGGTGAGCTAACTTAGCTTTACTCGGCACTTTTGGGGTTGTTTTGCTAGCTTGTAGCCTGCTGCTAACAGCATGGATAACACGGAGGAGAACGCTATCCAGCTGCATGGAGATGAGGAAATCATTGAAGTCATCGACCTGAACGACGCGGAGCCTGGTCCAGGTGAGTAGGAGGCAGTTTACGGTCCTTATTTACTCAATGTTTCCCTTTTAAGCACTCATAAGACAGCCAGTGTTAGGATAAATCACAGTTTATGGTAACTGGAATTGACCTTAAAAAATAAACTAATCAAATGACAGTTGGTTTGTTGGATGGGTTTCCACCTGAAGAACAATTTTCTTTTTATTGTTATCATTATTATTATAGCTTTATTTCTTTAGCACCCTTCAAAATTGAAATTAAAAGGTGCTGTACAAAAAGAAGCGACAATGAAGCATGCATAAAACAACCAATCATGAAAAAGCAACAATAAAATATAAAACTACAATAAAATCTTACTCAAGGCGTTATTAAATTCAAATTCCTGTCTGTGCAGGTTCATTTTTGAAGCATTTTAAATTGAAGCATTTAGCTGTTTTGTCAGAAATGGGACCTAAAACCATTAAAGTTCCCCTTTGAGTTAAGCTTTTAACAGCAACTTATCTGAGAGGTTCTGCGTGGAGAATAAAAGGGATAAAAGCTCTATGAAGAGGTGTTATGTGGAGCTAGATTTAGAAGTAAGTAACAGGATCCCATTAAATTCTAGCACAGTGTAAATCAACAAACACAAGGGTTGTGTGATCGTCGAGTGTTGCTGCTGTGTTTTGAACCATTCAGGTAATTAATGAGGAGCAGGCGAGAGAAAACGAGGGTGTTAACTTGCTTTTTGTCTGACCGTAAGATGATTTGGCGGATGACTTGGGGGACGTCGACTTTGAAGACGCCGGGAATGCGGACAACGACAACGAAGGCTGGGAGACGGAGGACGAGATGGAAGCTGAAGTCGAGCAGGATGACAGCGAGCTCACTTTCTCCAAACACACCGGTAACGTCCTCCCTCAGATCGATGCTGTTGGGGACCTCTGATAACTTTCAATCATCGTGGAATTCGTCTGTGATTTTGATAACGTGAATCTACCGTATTTTATTTTCATTTTTGCAGTAAAAATGACACCACAAATTCTCTCATATATTTTGCCAAATAAAAGTTGTTTTTTTGTTGTTTTTCCGCACCTCTCTTCTGCCTTAATAGTTATGGTGGGTGCCCTGGTGGTTGTAAATGAAAGCTTGGAGCATTTTGGCTGGAAATTCAGGAGGCTCGTGTTGCTGCACAGCGTACATAATCCATCAGAGGAACAACATTTTAAAGGATGATTAGATGGATGACACATGGCAGTTTATTGCTGTCTTTTAGCAGGATCAGCAGTTATTATGCAGCACCTTATTCATATCATATCCACGGATAATGCCGGTACATTTGAGTGAAACACAGACGTAGGGGTGCAGTTTTTAAATCACACGAGGTCTCCAAGTAATGCTTGTCGAACAAGGCTCAGCTGTCAGGCAGCCTCAGTCCGTTGAAGGTTTAAGTTTCTCTCTAATCCTTCTCTCCTCAGGCTCGGTGTTTTGTGTGAGTTTGGACCCGGCGACAAACAGCATGGCTGTAACAGGAGGAGAGGATGATAAGGCTTATGTCTGGAGGGTGAGCGACGGAGAGGTTCTGCTGGAGTGCACAGGTGAGTGTTGAAGGCAGAATGAAAGCTGCATTTACTCAAAACCCGCTTGGATCCTTTTATTTAATCTCACCAGTAGGTTTTTTTTTAACAGATGTTGCAATATTAGTCAGGATTTTAATGGGAATGATCTCTTCCAAGCCAACTGTAGAGCATTTGTGACCCGTCTGCACGAAATCGGTCGCATTGTGCCTTTGGCTATTATGCGTAAACAAAAGCGGCATGTTGCTACCACATGACACAAATCACAGGACAGGATTGGCTGGCGATGACACGTTGCTCGTGGCGCCTCCACACAAGTGGTTTCCGCGGCTTCTTTCTGGTGTTGCCGCTCATACACGCTGACGGTATTTGGCAGCGATATGGAGCGTAATATTATCACGCTCTGAAATATTAGATGTTACCTACATGGAGAAAATAACTAACATATGAGGTGCTAAGATGAGTTCACCTTGAAGAATGTGGAGAATTCTTCCTTTTTCAGAATCACCGCCACTAACAACGGTCTGTCTATGCGAGATCTCAAAAGCAGTTTTTTTTTTTGTTTTGTTTGCACAGGTCACAAAGACTCGGTGACGTGCGCCGTGTTCAGCCACGACTCCTCCCTGGTGGCTTCGGGTGACATGAGCGGCATGATTAAAGTCTGGAAAGTGGAAACCAAAGAGGAGATCTGGTCCTTCGAAGTGGGAGATCTGGAGGTACGAGTCTAACCTGAAGAACACTGAGTCGTGTGTTTGTGTCCGTTTAGTTTGTGCATCTGTCAGCACTATAGTCTTTTATTGGAGCTGGAGGAATTTATAAGGAAATAAGAGACGATGACAGCTCAGGCTGAGAATTTGTGGTCTCGGGGAGGAAGTGAATGATCAGACGGGATTCCAGTCCTCGACCACGACTGCTGAGTTTCTCCTCAGCAAGGCACACAACTCCTTCTAATTAAAACGGGTAGAAAACTGCAGGGGAAATTAGAGGAAAGGAGTTAATTCGTAGCTTGTGGCTTCTTCCTCAGTGGTTGGAGTGGCATCCCTGCGCCCCGGTGCTGCTGGCGGGAACCAATGATGGCAACGTGTGGATGTGGAAGATCCCTGCAGGAGACTGTAAAACCTTCCAGAGTCCCGCCTGCCAGGCCACCAGCGGCAAAGTCCTCCCTGACGGTGAGAGATGAGACAACAAGCCTCGGAGTTTGAAGATGCTTTATAGTATTTAGAAGTACAAAAAAAAGGTATGTAGTAACATTTAAAGGGATAGATGAGCTGACCTGGGACAGGATTTTAAAAGTAAAACCTCCTTCGCTTTTGATTAAACTCATTTCTTACAACTTAAAAATGCAGCTTACTTTAGGAGACACCAGAGAACAATCCATCATATGTAAGTAAAGCAAATGTTAGAAGCAAAATGTTTCACAAACAAAAAAGCAAAAGAAAGAATCAACGACATCAGCCTAGTAAATTCTTTATTGAAACACGCTCTTATTTGAGCACAGAGAGCAGGAGAGAAGCCAGCTAAACCACCCATCCAGTCTTTGTTTGTTAGTTACAAATCGATCTTTAAGACCTCCGACTTGCAGGCAAATAGCCAAAGCTAATGGCAGTGTTAGCCACATTAGCTGCAACATGCTAACACTCATTTTCTTTCTGTTGTGGTTGCGTTGCCGTCGATAACAAAAGTGGGGATGCTTGAAAGCTCTTGTGTTCAGTCTTACAGCCAGCAGCAGGACATTTGGTGTTTTTGAGTTAGCAGCTGTAGAAAATCAGTAAACCTGGTGGACTTGGAGGCAGCTGCTCATTCTGATTGGTTCACAGTGAGGGGGCGGGTTTATAAAAAGTTTGAGCCAATCGTCGTATCAAACCCTTCTCACATTAGATAGACGTTTGTGATTAGCTCGGCACGTCAACACAGGTCAAACACACTGAAATATGCTTTTGTTTTTTAATTCTCCAGGTAAACGTGCGGTGGTGGGTTACGAGGATGGAACGGTCCGAGTGTGGGACTTGAAGCAGGGAAACTCCGTCCACGTCATCAAAGGTGAGTCTCAATCATTTATCGTTTCGTGTCACTTTTGCCTCCACATGTTTGGGTTTTGTGTTAGAATAAGTATAAAGATTGATGGAGAAGCCGAGCTGAGGAGAGGTCATCGTGTGCTTTTAGTTTAATCGTGTGAATTCTACATTAAAGGAATTATGACACACAAAGTTCTGTCTAAACAGAAGACAATAATAAATAAAAGCCAGTAAAGGAAGCAGTTCAAGCACCAGACATTAATCAAATCCAGCGTTCCAGTCCAATAAAACAGGAAAGGAAGCTAAAACAAGGGTAAACAAATTATATAAGCTTGTCTTTGGAAAAACTGGCCCAAGGAGTAGTTCAGTGGGAAAAAAAAAACAGCCTGGAGTTTAAAATGTTTTAGGTTTAGGTTGTAAACAAGTCATAACATCGCACATCAGGACATTTTCTTAACATACAGTCGATCTACATGAGCAGGATTTTACATTTATTCTCATGATCGTTGTGGAAGGAGCTCTCCCACTAACGTGTTGCTGCTTTGACAGGTCAGGACGGCCACCAGGGGGCGCTGACCTGCCTGGCCTGCAACAAGGACGGCTCCCTGGTGCTGACGGGTTCTGTGGACGGTTCTGCCAAGCTAATCAACACCGCCACGGGAAAGGTGACGATAAGGAGCAGACGGCGGAGGGGAGGGGAGTGTTTATTGAGCAGCTTTTAATATCTGTGTTTTATTCAAGGTGGTCGGAGTGTTTTCTGTGGAAGGAGGCAAAGCGAAAGGATCGAAAGACGAGGAGGAGTCCAACTCTGTGGAGTCTGTGGGATTCTGCAACATGTGAGTGGCGTCACAAGAGCAGAGAGTCTGAGTGGCACAGATCCTGCATTTCTAACGTTTGGTCTGTCCCGTCCTTCCCAGCCTGCCGCTCATCGCCGTGGCGTACTTGGACGGGACTCTGGCCATATATGACCTGTCAACGCAGGTCCTGAGACACAGGTGCCAGCATGAGGTGAGAAAGACGGAGCCTTCCTGTTTGTTTATAGTCTCCCGAGTGTGACACGATGGATTCACACTTGCCTCGGCTCTGTGTACAGTACGCAGGCTTTGTAGTCATATAACCCGCCGCCACCAGGGAGGTCTGCTTTGAATGATGTCTTAACATACACATCCAGAGACGCCACGATGTCCACTTAAGGAATTTGTTTTCTCAGTTGCACATGAGGAGAGTTTGTCAAACGGTTCCATCAGTCATCTGACAGAAAAATGTGCTCAAACGTTATTTTGAACCCGTGATAAAAGCCTCTATTCAATGTGTGAGATGTGTTTCTAAAAGCTGTTTTGTGTCCCTCCAGGCGGGCATCGTTCACCTGCAGTGGGAGGACTCTTCTTCTGTGGTGTCCACCTGCTGCTTAGACGGAGCGCTGCGCTTGTGGGACGCTCGATCCGGCAACATGGTGTCGGAGTACCGCGGCCACACGGCAGAGATCCTCGACTTCACCGTCAACAGGTACGACTCGGCCGCAGGATACCGGTTATACCTCTGTAAACCCATCGAAGGGTTTGACAGGCGTGTGGTTGTTGAAAATTCAACAAAATAAAAGCATTTATCAGAGGCAGAAACTTTGAAAACAGAAAGAATTGTCAGATGTGTAATTTCAGATCAACTTTAATGTGCAATTGCAGAAAGAAAATTAACCTGAAATCATGATAATTTATCAGAATCCATGTGAAATGATTTTTCAGCTGAACTGCAGGCTGTGTCATTGAATACATTTCTAGGTTCTCTGTCCTTCTAGTCGTAGTTGTTCTGCTTCCATAGAGGTGCAGGACTTTATACGCAATGAAATAAGTAAAACTGTGACAGGAGCAAACACAAACGTCCCCTGCAGTCGCTGTAGTTTGAGAAAATATTCTTTATTTCTACTTTTCTGGTTGTGAAAGCATCATAGAAAGAATAGAAAACCTAAAAGCAGTCTGGGATTCCTGTTATCTGACAGTAAACTACTCAATATGTCGGCTGAATCACCATGAAACGTATGAACTCTTTCATTCCCTCGGTGTGTAGATTGTGTATTTGTGAACACGTTGAAGCTACGATTAATAAAAACAAAATCACAAGACAACATGTGCTTTCAAAAATTCCCACAAGTTTTCTATCCAGAGATTTTCCTGACCTGACTGTTCAACCTAAATCCTCCCTTGTGTCCTCAGGGAGGCGTCTCTCGCCGTCACCGCTTCAGGAGACAACCAGGCGAAAGTTTTCTGCCTCCAAAGACCCGATCGGTAAAAACAAGGACGAATCGAAGAGGAGAGAAAAAACGAATTTCAGGAGAATCATCAGAGACGATCAAACTTTTTGCTCTCCTCCAGCGGAGAACCGGTTTTACCTTCTTTCCTCCTCAGGATTTTAAAATACCCCCTGTGTGGATCTTACCCGACCTGATTTCGTAGGACTGTAGCTGCCCAAAGATGATTTTTTTTTCAGTTTTCAAACGTGCTCAAGATGTTGACGCCGCTTCCAGCACACCTTAGAGATTCTTTAAAACAAACTGCTCACCATTTGGGTCTAAGTACGCTCTTGTTCAAGAATCTGTGAGACTAAACAAAGTGAAATTCAGAGACTGGTGTCTCGCCTTCGACGTCCCTTTTTAATGTTCTGTCCTCCGAAAGATACAAACAACACAGAGAAAAGGAGTGTTTTTCGTTTGCCAAATGTCCTCAGCCCTTCGAGGGCGCCCGTGGTCTTCCAGCTCCAGTTTTCTGATGTAAACTCAAGTGTAAATACAAAAAATAATAATATACTTTCTTCTGGGGAACCATTAAAAGTCATTTTCAGCCGAACGCTCTTACGAGTCTTGTGTTTACTCCAGCCGTCGTCTAGATTAATCTGTCCATTCTCATCTGTGTTTATCAGATCTGATAAGCGGCGAATCGTTTTGTAGACTGTCAGTGATTCAGTTTTAACTCAGATCCGTTTGATATCGTTTTATCAGATGTGAGTAAACGGAGGAGGTGAGTCAGTCTGAGATGACAGCCCAGATCTGATTAAAGGAAGAAAATATGTGACTGACCTCAACTTTAAAAGCCCAAAAAAGGAAGTTTAGTTCTTTATTATTTCATAGATCTGTAGCCCAGATTGCTTTCGGTGCTTGATGGATTTGATCAACAGCTTTAATGTCGCCTATAGAAGTTATACATCCTCCTGCCGCCTCATGCTCTTATTTTGAAATATTTTAATAAGCTTGATCAGACAAATAATGCACAAGATGTTATTTATGTTTTGGGTTTTTTTGTAGTAAAACTTGACAGACAGCATTAAAAAAAAAAAAAAGGTGAAAATGCTCAAAAATAAATACAGTCGTGACTCAATAACCCGACCCTTAACAATCCTAAACGTTGCTATCCGACAGGTTTTTAGGAAAAACAAACAGAAACCATTAAAAACAGCCTTAACATACCGGCAGCCTTAGATTCTGACTCCGACATGACATTTAATGTCACAAATAAGGACAACGGCGTATTATCTGACTGAACAATCCCACAGATTGGCTACGTTCACACTGCAGGACTTGATGCTACATTCAGATTTTTTGGTGAAATCCCGATTTTTTTTGTAAGTTCGTTCTCATTTCCAGTTAAATGCGACTTGTATGTGATCTGCTGTGTGAACTTCATACGACCCAAAAGTGTCCCGCATGCGCAGAAGAGGACACGACGACGTTACATGCAGTGACTGTGCTCAGTGTTTACAGAGGTAAACATGGATGGTACCGGTGGAGCGTATCTGCCACTCCCCCGCCGCCACTGGAAACAGAAGTGTGAGCGCTAACTAAACTAGCATCAGCAGCCAAGTACTGCCTGTGCGTTCCGGTGTCCTCCCCGACCGTGCCGAATATTCTGATATTTATCATTAATTGGGCCCAAATATCCAGAGTCCAGAAAGTGCTGTTCGGACCAGCACTACTAGTTACTATAACAACTATAGACAATAAATATTAACAACAAATGAGCCTTCAAGCATCAAGCCCTCCTCGTATGTCGACCTCCGTCTTGACAATCCAACATAAAAGAAGATTTTACATTTAGTGTCGGATTATCGAGTCACGATAATTAACAAACTCCAGGCTCCACTATTAGCGAGTTTGTATTATTTATTGATGTAAAACATACCAAATTATGAGGTTTTCACATTTTTATTTTGATATAAAGTTTCTCAGTCAGGTTTAATGCTGTTTGAGATTATTTTTGTTTTTGCATGAACGTGAGATAAAACTCCCACCCAGTGCAGACTGTGATGATGCACACCTCCACAATCTTTCTGACCCAGACAAAGCAGAACTGTCTCAATCGGTTCTTTCTACAATCAGGAAATACATCAGATCTCCAGCTGCTTGTTGAACATACATCCTTGTATGTTTACGTTACCATGTGACTGATAGGAGGCAATTAAACATAAAGGTCACAACCACATCGCCCTGCATTGGTCTGCATCAGAGTCAAAGGCAGGAACATCAGAACGTCGAGTCACTGCAGCTCGTACTGTGCAGCCAAGTGTATAATCACTAATATTAATGGATGTACGAGCGACATGTTGGCAGCTTTGACTGATGAAGACCAGACTGTTATTCTCAAAGAGGACGACCGGTTCAGCTCCTTCAGCTTCAGCTATTGTTGTTCTTATTTCTGCCCTCTGGTCGTCCTCTCTTCTTGACCGTCCACGAGGCAAAAACAAGCGTCATTCGGTATCCTGAGCACAAGTGCTTCTTCCTCGGCTTACGCAGTCATTGTGTGTTTATGAAGGAGCACACGCACAGCTCTCCTGGACGGACAGCGAAGCACCTGCACATGGATTGTGTGGATATTGTTTAGTTTTATGGTGTACAAACAGGAGATAACATTTCATCAGATTCAAAGTTGTGTCACCTCTCAACACCTGAATTGAAGTAGACTATTTTCTCTCCTGAACAATCAAAAACAAATCATTTAGATATTGATATTGCAGGAACCAAACTTAAGTGAACACGCCTTGGACACAGGAGTTAGAAAACCAGAGATAACGAACAGGTTATATAACTGCATGGTTATAAAACGAGCTGTGGAACCTTCTCAGTTTTGGAGCTATGGGCTGTGTCGATGTCGATGGAGAAGAACCGCCAGAGGAACTGAAAAATCTGATTGAGAGACTTAGAAAAGATGGAAAAGCTTACATAAAAATCAGTGGGTGCAGCAGTAATCAGGAGGTATGGAACGAGCCGTAGTACCACTAGTAGCTGCAGCAGTCGGACAGTGTGCTGTTTGTACTATTCAACCCTGGAAAACAGACCGGCAGGTGACTTGGCGAAGGGTTTATCAGTGGAAATCAATCTGTAACAGCTCAGGCAACATGTAGGATGGTTCCAAATGTCTACTTCTATGGGCAGCATCCAAGAGAAACACCTTCTAGTTGTAGTAAAACTGCAAGATGGAAGTATGATAAAGAACATGAAAAGAATACTGGGAGTCTATTGTTTGGTCAGATGAGACCAAGGTAAGTTTGTTTGGCTCCGTTGGGGTCCAGTATGTTTGCTGTTATTGGATGCTTTAATGACCTGACAGTGAAGCACAGAGGTGGAAGTATGATGAAAGGTGTTGGACACATTTATAGACGACGCCATCAGCGAATGTGGATATACCAGATACCAGAATCCAGTCTGACGAGGTGACTCCTGGTCTGCAGAAGGTGAATATTTCATAATGATCCAAAATCCCACAAAAGTTTCAGAATAGTAAAAATGATTACCTAACCAAGTGTGTTGTCAAATACATAGAGCACATCTGGGGTATTTTAAAGACAAAGGTAGAGCAATACATCCCCTCAACCTTGATGTACTGCATTGAGTTCCTACTGATACTTTTTTAATATAGTTAATCAATACTGATAGTTTTTCAGTTATACTCTACTCCTGTTTCAGTAGAAAAATAACACCTGCCCAGCGAGGCGTTCACTGGCCGCAGGATATTTTCCTCCTCTGTCACAGCAGGTAAACGCACGTGAAGACAAAGGCTGGTTGGATTATTACCTTCGGACCTGGACGGAGCCACAGTCGGACCTATTAAAGTCATCTTCTCTGAGGGCCACCATGACGACAGCAGGTGGGCCGAGAGAGGCTGGCGCTGCTGCCAAGGTAAACATGTCTGGAGGAAGAGGAGGAAAGTGACAAACACATTAACAATGCTGCCTGAAAACGGCAGCGAGCGGTCACCACGGAAACGGAGAAGCTGAGGATAAAAGAGTGCAGTCGATGGAAAAAAAGAAAAAAAAGGGGGTTTAAGGTGAAACTGTCAAACAGAAACCTCTGTTTTTCTGACGAACAATAGTCACGGATAGTAATGATCTGAAATCTAAAAAATACTCCAATACTTTACATCTGAAGCATCTAAAATGAAAACACAATATGTTCTTGTTTCTTCTTCTTTATTTCTACAAAGTATTTTAAAAATTCAATCGTGAGTGAAACACATTCAAACATGGAAGGAACGCTAAATCATATGCTAGTTAGCTTTTAGCTAGTTAGCTTTAGCTAGTTAGCTTTCGAAGTCCTAATATTGATACTTTTATTTCAGTATAATTTAAGATTTAGGCTTTATTATGTGTATGTGGAACAGTAAACTAAGTTGCTAACATAATAGAGTATAAAAGTGGTTTTTAAACTCAGTTTGACAAGAAAAAAGTTGAGTTTAGCTAAACCATCAGGCTATTAGCTAGCATTAGCTACAGTTTGTTTTGATGTCTGTTTTCTCAGTTTTGTTAATTTTTGAACTACTTTTCTCCAAAATTACCTGTTTTTCTGTTATTACGACGCCTTATAAGTGTGCTATTTAAAACCATGTTAAAGTTATTGGCCTTTAAAGCTGGTAAATTGAAAATTAACTTTATTGGTAATAAATAACTTTTACATGATGAAAAAATATCTAATTTTTAGCTGTAAATGCACTCAGAAATGAGTTATCATGAAATAAAATACATTCAAATTAACTAAATATTGTTGGAAAACTGTTGAAAAGTTTTTTGTTTAGTTTACGTCCCAAATAGTCGAGCATCAGTTGAAATTAACGGAGCTGAAATACAATTAATGAATAAATTCCGGTTGCTCTCAATCAAAGTTGGTGGCGCCACGAACCTGGCATTGATCTCCGTTCTCAGCTGAGCTTATTCATCTTATCACATTAAACTTTTCCGCTGCATGTAGCATTAAACCAGATTAGATAATTGATTTAGCTGTGAGGGGACCTGGTGTTCCGGTGAAGCCCAGATGCTCCGTCTCCTCCTTTGTAAATGAAGATGTCCAGCCTGTCCTCCCTGCCTGGTGTCTCTCCAGACTCTGGAACGTTTCTGTTTAAAACCATTATCTAACTGGAGCTCGTCCATCTCTATCAGCGCCGGGTCTCCTCCGAAACTACCTCTGAAGGAGTCTTCCGTGTTTGGCCAACGAAGCAGGTCAGCGCCGGCCTTCCATCCAGCGCTGTGTTTAAATGTGAGGCGAGTGTGACAGCTGTTATGAGTTCAGACGTACACAAGGTTGTATGTATATGTTTAGGCCAGCGCTGAGCCAAATAATAGGAGGAAATACATCTTTGCATTTGTTTTAACCCACTTAAGAGAACGGATTTGTCAGGAGCGACAGCTACGTTGATGGGTTAGGTGAAGGATTTGTCTAAAAGAAATTAGTGGTAAAAACAGCTAAAAGTTTATTCCTGTGATTGTGTACAGAAAACAGCAATATTGTCAAATTATTTATAAATGTATCACCTTACAGTAATTGCATGGAGGAGTGTTTTCTTCTGTGAACAATTAAAAACAAGCTTAATGTTAGCTCGATGCTAATCACTGCTCCCAGTTATGCATCGTAAAACCTCAACTTGTTGTTTTTACCTTTCTGTTTGTGGAGGAATGAAACACACAAGGTACAATATGTTCATTTGTGAGCTGTAAAAGTGTTAAAACATTTATTTTTTAAACTTCCCACGCAGCCAAGCTAGCTGTTTCCCCACGCTTTTAGTGTTTATGCTACATTCTCCTAGCGACACTTAGCTAACTGACACGCAAAAGTGGTAGCAACCCTCAACATATGGCACAAATGAGAATCAAATCCTTTTTCCCATAAATGTCCTGATAAATAAGTATACTTTTTTAGCATTGATGTGCCTTTTTTGTGCATTCAGTTATTAAAGGAAGCTAAACTGTGGCAGCTAGCAGCTAACAATAGCTTGTCCGCCGCTATGCGCTAAGCAACATCATGAAAAGCTGTTTTGTTGTTGTCAGGAAGCTCAAATACACCAAATTGTATTATGTATTGTTATTTAATGACCCTCCAGCCTATTAAAAATGTAAAATTGAGTATTTTCAAGCAGAAAATGTACATTAACTTGTAAACAGGTTTGTTCCGTTTAGCATCCAGACTAGCAATGCAAGCTACTCTTTCACTGAGGCACAAAATTGACATGAGGAATCAGATAAATCGAATATTAAAATGCAAGAACAGCATATGGATTCCTCTTTATACATTTATACGTGTAGAAATGTATTACCTTGTGTATTTATATATTGCTGTGTACACCTATGCTGTATATTATTTGCTGTAATAACAGTAAAGTTTAATCTAGTGTTTATTTCTACATCTATTCATTCTTAAGTGATACAAACTAATCTAATTTCCCACTTCAGGAACTTCAATTCCTGATCTTATTGCTAAAGGAAGTAGGGCCTGTGCAGCTTCTAAATATTTGTGAAAAACAACATTGTGTTGGCTAAACAATTACTAGAAAGCATAAGTAAACTTCTTAGAGGTCTGACAAACAATCAGTTGCACAAGACGGACTTTACCGGCTTGTAAATGTGCCACAACACAAAACCTGCACAGTTTGATGTTTAAATGATGGGTTTATTTGCCAATCTCTTCATTTTCTAACTGCGTTCTCAGCTGCTGAATATTTGCAGAAGATTTGTGGGAGCGTTCGGGGGCCCGTCGTGGAGGGCGTGAGGACAAGAGCGCATGCCACGCCAGCTGATGTTGACTGGAATGTTCTTATCAGCTTCAGTGATAACAGGTCTCCATTCTCTTCCATTCATGGACGTGCGCGTCAGTCCTGGGCAGCGGTTAAAACAAATGAACCGGCGGTTAAAGGAGCACAAAGGGAAGAGTTAGTAGGTCGGGGTTGGTGGTGGACACTGCTGCCTCATCCGTAGCAGGCAGGAAGAGACACTTTGGTTACAACAGCTGCAACCTCCTCCTCCTCCTCCTCCTCCTCATCCTCCTCCTTCAGCGTGCACTTCCCCTTTAAAGTGTCTGAGAGGAACAGTCTTGGCTGCTCGCTCCGTCCGAGCTCTCGTTGAGTTGGATAAAGAAGACGGCTTCTGCACTTTTGTCTTGTAAATATGATCAGAGGAGGAGAGCGAGAAGAAAAAAACGATTTTATTTGAAGTGCAACCGATACATGACTGAGCTGCTCATCACAAAAAGGTAAAGATCTTCCTGCTTTTCTTTCCCCCAATAAGTTCTTGTTCTTTTTTTTGTGCAATCAATCATTTCTCCACATATCATTGTTGTTCTTTAATTCTTTATGTTCCAGCATAACTTAGATTAATGCATGCAATGTGTAGCTGGAAACCAACCATCTACTTCTGTGACAGAAAAGTTCTGCAAAATAGGTTAAAAGTGAATTAAAAGGGGGAAGCTGTCAGAGATAAACGAAGGCATCACTGATGAGGCAGTAATGTTGGAAAACCAATTTGTTTCTGTGTGTCGACCTTTTTAAAGACCCTTTAAAACCAGCATTTACTGAAAGTGGAGCAGGACTTTGATACCATAAAACCCCTCATTGGGCTTACAAGACTCATGCCTCGTATTTGTGTTACATATGCAACGCGTGTTTTTATTGTCGGGATCGTGTATTAGGCGCATTTTTCATTATAAAATAACGTTTTACTGCAGCTGTAAGATATTTAACATGGAAAATATTTGACGTAAACAAGGCGACATAACAGAGTTTAATCATACTTATGTGCAGTATGTAGGTGTGGGTTATTGTAGCTCACTGTACATTTCCCCCTTCAGTTTAAACTGTGTTAAATTATCTCAGGTTATGCAGCACTTTCCAGAATATAATAGACACAAGGGAAGCCGTAACTGCGGAGCCGATGAATTATTGAATGACAGCAGCCTCTCGTCCATTAACATGCGCTCTTATTTGCTGTTAGCTAACAAAGGGGCTCGATTTGTTTCAGAGAGACGACAGAAAGGCACATGTCTTGTCATGTGTCTTCACCACAGAGTCTAAATGTGTCACTCAGCATCTCTCCCCTACATAGTATTTATAATAATGCTGTTTTCATCCTTCTGCTCTCTGAATGTGTCGAATTTTTTGTCCCTCCGTCGTACATTTTACTTCTGAATATGTTGTGTAACGGCTTCCTCTTTATGCAGTGAGAATAT